TCATTATACCAAATTTTGGACAACTCGATTAGAATCAGATTCATCCCTACACTTTAGTATATATGAATCCTGAGGAATTATTGCCTTTGAATTTGGGTTGAATCTTGGAGTCACTACAATCCATTAATATCAGTGTTATCAGAACCGGACCAGACCGACCAGTTGAACCAGTTGGATCAAGAATCGTGCTCTAAACCAGTCTGGTTCTTAGTTAGACCATATAGGGAATCAAACTGGCTTTGAACCTCTAAACCAGACGGTTATATAAAATCAAAGAACTGGATGAGTTGTTTGAACCAAGCAGTTCGAATTTTAAGAGACTAAAAAAAATTAAAATCAATTTTTTAGGGCAATTTTGCCCTAAATCGAGCCCTTCCTTTTCTGTCTTCTCTTCCTCGAATGCATAACAGGCACCAGCAGCAAAAGACTCAACTTAGGCAATCAAGCCAACTACTCGATCTCTCTCCCTNCTGGGTTGAATCTTGGAGTCACTGCAATCCATTAATATCAGTGTTATCAGAACCGGACCAGACCGACCAGTTGGATCAAGAATCGTGCTCTAAACCAGTCTGGTTCTTAGTTAGACCATATAGGGAATCAAACTGGCTTTGAACCTCTAAACCAGACGGTTATATAAAATCAAAGAACTGGATGAGTTGTTTGAACCAAGCAGTTCGAATTTTAAGAGACTAAAAAAAATTAAAATCAATTTTTTAGGGCAATTTTGCCCTAAATCGAGCCCTTCCTTTTCTGTCTTCTCTTCCTCGAATGCATAACAGGCACCAGCAGCAAAAGACTCAACTTAGGCAATCAAGCCAACTACTCGATCTCTCTCCCTTCTCTTTCTTTTTGCCTATAAGTCTTCTCTCTCTCTCTCTCTCTCACACACACACACACAACATAGATGACAGAACTAAACACACACATACCGATTCACTTGTATTTTGATTTCTCTCATTGATTTTAAATTTAAAGAAATACCATTACCTCGAAAAGGCCATTTGCCTTGAGAAGGCAAAAAAGCATAGCTAGGTGTGTTATATCATCATTATCAAAAATTTTAGTTACTTTTTTATATAGGATTTTGTGTTTATGATGTTAATTTTATAGAAAATTATATATAATATAGTGCAAACATATTTATATTTTTAATTAAATNCAATCAAGCCAACTACTCGATCTCTCTCCCTTCTCTTTCCTTTTGCCTATAAGTCTTCTCTCTCTCTCTCTCTCTCTCTCACACACACACACACACACAACATAGATGATAGAACTAAACACACACATACCGATTCACTTGTATTTTGATTTCTCTCATTGATTTTAAATTTAAAGAAATACCATTACCTCGAAAAGGCCATTTGCCTTGAGAAGGCAAAAAAGCATAGCTAGGTGTGTTATATCATCATTATCAAAAATTTTAGTTACTTTTTTATATAGGATTTTGTGTTTATGATGTTAATTTTATAGAAAATTATATATAATATAGTGCAAACATATTTATATTTTTAATTAAATTATTATATTTTATAATTTTTTATTTTTTTATTATATAACCGGTCTGACTAGTTGACCTAACAGTTGAACCAATAAACCATTGATCTGGTCCCTTTGTCAATTCGATGACAGGTCCGATTCTGATAATATTNTGTTTTTAGAATTTCGCAAAACCATGCCAAAAAAATGATGGAAAACAACCCGGGATTGTTTTCAATTTTTAATGCTCGGCTTCCCCTTGTTTTTTGAAAAAGGTGGACCTATTCCCACCCAATAAATATTCATTCACACCATATTTAATTTTTTATTATCAAATTACTAAATTCATCTCTTTTATATCCACCCCATTAATAAGTAAATCACCTCATGAGAAAAATATCTCATTAATAATTAAGTTCACTCATTCTATATTCACCTCTTTAATGAAAGAAGTCATCGTAAGAAAAAATAATTAAAAAAGACAATTAATTTGTATGCATAAATCTATATAATAAAATATAATTAAACAAAACAATTAGTTTGAATTTATAAATTTATATAATAAAAAAGTTAGGTGTTTTAAATTTTATCTCATACGTATTTTTTCCCTCAAAATTATCTCATCACTCATTTTTATCACATATTTAATCATTTAATATTTAATTAATTTGTAGTTTAACATAATTTTTATTTCAGAAATTATCCATACACGATAATATACACATGTTGAGAAAATTTGTGATATGACGTATTTTTGTCTATATTTTCTAAAAAATAAAGGGTAAAAATAAATTTTATTATTTAATATAGTGGGATCCAATTTTTGGAAAGCTCGAATTTTATGTTTCATTGTACCTTCAGGCACGGATTATGACTAGTATATTTACGAAACAAGAAGAAAAAAAGAATAAAGCAAAACAGAAACAAGAAAAAAGAAATCAAAAACGAAACAAGTAAAAAAAACAAACATGCCAAAACAAGAAAAAAGAAAAGAATGAAATAAGGAAAAAAAACCAAAAAAAAGAATCAAATCGAAAAAAGAAGGAAAAAAAAGTAAAGATTAAAAAAACAAGCAAAACTATACGGCGCAAAACCGAATATGGAAAAAAAAAACATGCACCAAAAATAAACACAAAATCGAACAAGAAAAAAAATAGCAAGTATAGATGTAAAACCTTAACAAGAAAAATAAATAAATAAATAATTTGAAAGCATACATATATATACACACATAAAAATTTTAAATAAAAAATTACTCCCTCTGTTCCTAAATATTTGTCGGTTTACATAATTTTTTTTATTCCACAATATCTGTCGTTTAATAAAACTAAAACATAATTAATATTTTTTCTTTTAAATTTACTCTTAATTTTTTAATGCATTAGATTTGGTGGAGGTTAAGTAACTTTCATATTCCTTTCCTTCCAAATACGTATTGAATAAGGGTATTNTCTTAACTTTTTAATGCATTAGATTTGGTGGAGGTTAAGTAACTTTCATATTCCTTTCCTTCCAAATACGTATTGAATAAGGGTATTTTAGTCTTGTTCAATTATTTTTTACTCATATTAGAGCTATTTAATAGCTTCCTTAATCCCTGTGCAAAAACCTTAAATGACAAATATTAAGAAACAGATGGAGTATTATATTTGATAGAGATATCAAAACATACCAAAAAATAATAAAAATTCATATAAAAAATCTTAAATCAAACATATAATTAAATTGAGAAGTATTATTAACATGTATCTCACTAGAAAAATTTATATTGAAAAAATATTTTTGTGAGTGCACGAGATGAAATAAAGAATGAAATCATAATTATAATAAAATATAAAATGAATTTACTTATTAAAAGGGGTGTATGTAGCATATAATTAGTTTAATTATTAATGTGGTAAGTATAAAAAGAGTAAGTTTAATAATTTGATAATAAAAATTAAATGAGATAAAAATAAAAATTTGTAAGATAAGAATAACTCCGTCAAAAAACCAAAACATCATTCCAAACAGTTTTTTACTTATTTTTAAAAATTTTGAGAATAAAAAACAATAAAATCAAACCAATCACTCCCTTAGTTTTTTCAGTTTTCAGTCTCTTCTAACTGGTTAGCTAGCATGCCTGTCTGAAGACAGCCGTACAAATGGAAGGTTCAACAGTGGATCTTTATGCCCAGAGCATGTTTAAACGTCAAAACATGGAAAGGCGAATAGCCAAATCGTCTTTGCTGCATTTAATGCGCTTTCTCTCATACAAACGCTGCCATAATTATTTAGAGTAATACGATGCTTACCAAATATTTTTAAAAGAAAATTTTCAAAAAAATGAGATGATAACTCTATATTTTCAAAAAAATTTCAAAAAAGGACGTTTTTCACAAACTTAGCTCCCCTCAAAACTTATTTCTCAAAATCAGTCAATTTTCAACTTATTTCTCAAATTTAGTCTCTTTTTTGAAAACGTCATTTAAAATGACGATTTCTCATCGAAAAACGTCAGTTAGAATGACGATTTAAAATTTAATTTTTTTTTATAAAAATGTCATTTAAAATGACGTTTTTTAAGTTGTCATTCAAAGTGACGTTTTTAAACATGTTTTTTTTTAAACGGCACTAACAGACGTTAAAAATAACAAAAGATGAAAACGTCATTTTAAATGACGATTTAAACGATTCACCTCGATTAAAAATTCCCAAATCATAGATAGGCCAAAAAATTTCAAATATTTCAACCACGAAGTCTTCTCCTCCTCCTCCTCCTCCAACAACAACAACAACAACGAAGTCATCTCCTCCTCTTCCAGTGACTGAGCAGACCATCGGAGGACCAGTGAGTATCTTCATTCTCAGTGACTTAGCCTTGAAATCTAACCTTAATCCACAGCTCCACCAGCCACCAGCAACTGCTCAGTCACCAGCAACAACTCCACCAGCCACCACCAGTGAGTATCTCCATTGTCCGTTCCAGCCTTAATCAATTTTGACCAAAATCGATTTTTACCCTAAATTAATTTTGCCCTAAATCTGTGGACTTTTTTATACAAATCTTGAAGAACCAGTTACTATTTGTATGTGTGTATGTATATAAATTATGTTTAAAAAGCTACCTGAATTGGATTATGGATCTATGTTGTGATTTGGGTTTAGATTTCTGATGGAATGGTTTTTGCTGAGTAAGTGAGACCAATAACAGATATCTGTAGTGACCAATAACAGACATTGATTTTTGACATGGATGAAAACTACTTGTCTTTTGAGATCTTTATCTGTAGTGACATTAGAATAATTGCAAGACATAAAACGGTTNAAATTGGATTATGGATCTATGTTGTGATTTGGGTTTAGATTTTTGATGGAATGGTTTTTGCTGAGTAAGTGAGACCAATAACAGATATCTGTAGTGACCAATAACAGACATTGATTTTTGACATGGATGAAAACTACTTGTCTTTTGAGATCTTTATCTGTAGTGACATTANAACGATTTAAACGAATCACCTCGATTAAAAATTCCCAAATCACAGATAGGCCAAAAAATTTCAAATATTTCAACCACGAAGTCTTCTCCTCCTCCTCCTCCAACAACAACAACAACAACGAAGTCATCTCCTCCTCTTCCAGTGACTGAGCAGACCATCGGAGGACCAGTGAGTATCTTCATTCTCAGTGACTTAGCCTTGAAATCTAACCTTAATCCACAGCTCCACCAGCCACCAGCAACTGCTCAGTCACCAGCCACCACCAGTGAGTATCTCCATTGTCCGTTCCAGCCTTAATCAATTTTGACCAAAATCGATTTTTACCCTAAATTAATTTTGCCCTAAATCTGTGGACTTTTTTATACAAATCTTGAAGAACCAGTTACTATTTGTATGTGTGTATGTATATAAATTATGTTTAAAAAGCTACCTGAATTGGATTATGGATCTATGTTGTGATTTGGGTTTGGATTTTTGATGGAATGGTTTTTGCTGAGTAAGTGAGACCAATAACAGATATCTGTAGTGACCAATAACAGACATTGATTTTTGACATGGATGAAAACTACTTGTCTTTTGAGATCTTTATCTGTAGTGACATTAGAATAATTGCAAGACATAAAACGGTTACAGTTTTGAAAAATCTTTTAAACCTTTTAAGAGATTATTTTTAGTGTAGTTCATTTATGCTGTAAAATCTAGAAAAAAGTAAAGATGGAAATGTAATAGAAAGAAAATGGCAATCAACTCCGCATTTATGCAATAAGAGGATGCTTGCGAGTTGGAGGTTTTCACCAAACCCATGCCCCGTGAAAACTTATTTCCATAACCAGTCACTTTTAAATATAATTCTCAAACTCAGTCTTTTTTTAAAAACGTCATTTGTAATGACGCCGCCATATGGTAAAACGTCATTCTTAATGACGATTTCAACTTTGAATTTTTTGACTCAAAACGTCATTATAAATGATGTTTTTAAACTCGTTATTTTTAATGACGTTTTATAAAATAAAATTTTAAATGGCTGCTAACGGGCGTTAAATAAAATTAGAAGAAAAAAACGTCATTTGCAATGACGTTTTCAAATACCTTATATCAGATTTTTTAAAACAACAATCCCTCTCTGTCGCATCTCTCTCTCTCAGATCATTCTCTCGATCAGATCCCCACAAGCTCGATCAGAGCCCCTCAGTCGATCAGATCCCCTTTCTCGCTCAGATCTCTCTCTCAGATCCCTTGTGCTCGTCGTCTACCATCCAGTCGCATCTCCCTATCTTCTCTGACGAGTAAGGCAAGTTTGACGAAGAGGAACACTCTAGCAGTCCTCTCTCCATTTCTCCGGTGGTGCTCTCTCTGGTGGTGCTCCGGTTTTGCTCTCTCCATTTCTTTTGGTATTTTTCACCCTGTATGTGTTAAAATATACTACTTGTATACTTAATGTATGGTATAGTAATGGAGTTTGGGATATAATGTATAGTATAGTACCGGTTGCATCCTTTTTGGTTTCCAAGAAAACCCATTCGAATTTTCCAAGAGAACCCATTTGAACTACTATTGGAAGATAAAAGAGTGTATCATTTTTTTTTCTTAAATGATTTGACCACTGGATTAATTGGAAATTTTGTGTACTATTTATGTAATTTTATGTTGATTATGTAGATATGTTTGCTGAGATTCGTTTGTTTTAAGGGTTTGCTGGGTTTTGTCATCAAATGATATTGGTTTTATGGTTACATTGACTTGTTTGGTTTTATTGTTGGGGTTAAGCCTCTACCAGCGTGCACAGGCTCTACCACTGATTGAGCAGTGAGCACATTCTCCATTTTTTGCCAAAAATTAATTTTTGCCCAAAGGATGTGCTCTGTGGCCTGATCTATTCTGGGTGATCTGATATATTGCAACCTCATATGTTAGGGTTCTAGGTCTTGCCCAAAGCATTTCAAATGATGTTTTTTAAAAAAGACTGAGTTTAAAAATTAAGTTTAAAAGTGACTGGGTTATGGAATTAAGTTCGAGGTGAGCTGGGAGCTTTTGACCAAACCTATGCCCCCTCAAAACTTAATTCCCAAACCCAGTCACTTTTAAACTTAATTCTCAAATCCAGTTTTTTTAAAAAAAAACGTCATTTGAAATGACGATTTAAAGTTTAAATTTTTTTTCTGAAAATGTCATTGATAATGATGTTTGTTAAGTCGTCGTTCAAAATGACTTTTTTACACATGAATTTTTTAAACGGTAGTAACAGACGTTAAAATTTATAAAAGGGAGAAAAACATAATTTTGAACGACGACTTAAAAAATGTCATTTGCAATGACGATTTTAACGTTCAAATTAATTTCAAATATTATATCACATGCTATTCAAATATCACACTACTCCCACTTAACTCTCCTTCGCCTCAACCACTCTCAGCTGAGCTCCGACGAGCTCCAACTAGCGGCCACAGCCTTCAACGAGCTCCAACCAGCAACCACAGCCTCCAACGAGCTCCACCATCAGCGACCAACGAGCTCCACCACTAGCGACCACAACCTTTACCACCAGCGACCAGCGACTTCCACCAAGTGAGCAATGAGTACATTGTCCATTCTCTATATTTGCCTTAACTATTTTTTGCCCAAAATTGAATTTTGTCCTAAATTCGATTTTGCCCTAAAATGAATTTTTCCCTAACCAATCTTTGTCAAATTATGTCAGAATTTAAAATCTTAGAATTATTTCAAAATTTTGCCTTAAATTCGATTTTGCCCTAAAATTTGATTGTGCCCTAAATCGAATTTTGCCATAACCAATCTTTGTCAAATTATTTCAGAATTTAAAATCTGCCTCTTGGGTGCAAATCATTTATGTGAACCATTGCCCCTGATGTCCTAGAATAATAGAAAAAGAGAGCAATGACATAGTAATATGACATTTCTTACTCTATTCAGTTGTTTAATAATTATGTGAAATAATAAGCACAAATATCTGGATTGCATAAAATTTATAAGTAAAACAGACTTGGTAGTGAACATCTCGTTCCCTGACATACACTGGTTTTTGATTTTAGCTTCGCGGGTAAGTCGCAAGTGTCTATTGATGTTTATTGTCATAGATGTCATCCCAGAAAAACTTGATGTTTTATATAAAAGTGTCTATACACTCTAATATTCGTGCATACCATCTGAACTTTTGCTTTGATTTTATGTTTTATTTGAGATTTTAGTAGATTTATATGCCTGTCATATGTACTTTTGATTTGCTTTGCTGTTTGAATGAGAAATTTGAATTATTTATGAGAATTAATGTTGTGGACTTGAGAAGTTTTCAATCTTTATGCTCACTTTGATATAAGCATACTGGAACTATTTCCATTTAACAAGACTTCTACATCTTCTCTTGACTTTTGTTTTGTATATGAAGTTCTGAGATCGGAGCTACCATCTTGATAATGTGGATTGAGTTGAGTCTGGAGGTTTTCCCCAAACATGATAATTCTACATGATAATTGTGCATGATAATGTGGATTGAGTTGAGTCTGGAAGTTTTGAGATCGGAGCTACCATCATGATAATTCTACACACCATGTACATGGAAATCACTATATACTAGGCTTCTTTCCATCTAAATAATATTTAAAGGAATGGAGAAAGCAATAAAGAAAGACCCAACACCAACAGTTGAATAAGATTAAATATAGTCATCCATTACTTTTAGTTTCATAATGAATTTACTGTGATCAAATTTTCTTTTGGATGATGCACTAATGTATCACTGTTTTTAGGGACGGCCTGTTGCTCCATGTTCGTTCTCCAGGATGTTGCTTTAAATCCCACCTATTTTCGTGAATTGTATACTTGTTGAGAAATAAGTACATTTTGTAAAGTTTCTATTAGAATTGGCGAGTTCATTTAGTAAAGTTTTCAAAATATTTTAGCAGTTTTAATATATTACTTTCCTGATGTAAGTGTCAATCATTTTATGTACTTAATGTGCTCCTTCATTAATATTGGGTGATTGAAAATTAGAATAGGCTACCCGGTTTATTTACATTTCAAAACATGAACAAGCAAAAGTTTTGATGAAAGCAAAAGTTTTGGTTGTTTATACACACTAACTTTTGATATATTTATTGTATAATTGTTAAGAATGGCCAAAAGACGTGCTTCTGTGATGATTTATTGGGGTGGTAGCATATTCAAGAACCATGATGTGTTACGATACGATAATGGTTATAAGCGTGTGATAAAGGTTTCGCATGACACAACATACTCGGCATTGGTGGATAGGTTGCATGATGTGACGGGGATAGACAGGAATAAATACAACCTCAAACTTATCTGTAGGTTTCCTACTACATTGGGAACTAACTTGTTTACATATATTCCAGTAGAAGTTGTTGATAACGATGGTGTGGAGGCAATGGTGGATATTATATTTGACAATCAAGGTGTTAACAAAGGTGATTTGTATGTTAGCGAAGAGGTTATGGCAAATGACATTGGTGGAAGTAATGAAGGTTGGCCTGATGTTGGTTCATACACTTCCATGCTCAGCCAACAACCATATATCCCAGTGCTCGACCCTTCAGCCATGGTGGGTAATTATTACACCCCTTTAACAATGCAGTGTATGAAAGAATACAATCGATATACACANGCAAATGACATTGGTGGAAGTAATGAAGGTTGGCCTGATGTTGGTTCATACATTTCCATGCTCAGCCAACAACCATATATCCCAGTGCTCGACCCTTCAGCCATGGTGGGTAATTATTACACCCCTTTTAACAATGCAGTGTATGAAAGAATACAATCGATATACACATGCACAGGCTAAAACAGGGCCTAGTACTTTTCCTGAAAGCTCATCTCAGCAAGAGTATAGTGTTGGACTGGGGAACGAGGGGATGGAAATGATTACAGTGACCCCAACACCAGCACCAGTGGACCCTGTCTAAGCACTTNTAACAATGCAGTGTATGAAAGAATACAATCGATATACACATGCACAGGCTGAAACAGGGCCTAGTACTTTTCCTGAAAGCTCATCTCAGCAAGAGTATAGTGTTGGACTGGGGAACGAGGGGATGGAAATGATTACAGTGACCCCAACACCAGCACCAGTGGACCCTGTCTAAGCACTTGTACTGCATCAGATTGCTAATAATATATATGAAGGAATATGTGCTAATGACCAGAATGATTACTATGAAGAAGAAGAGTTGCCAGAAAATGTATTGAGTGATGACTCTGATGATGATGATTATGATGCTGAAGGTAATTCTGCTGAGGATGACGGTGAGGTTCCTATGCATGAGCCGGAGTCAACATTTTTCTCAAATGTTGAATTGGGAAACCAGAATGAAGTTGACAGTTTGTGCATTTTGCATAGAATTAAAACATGGGATCCTACAAGACTAGAATTGGCTAAGGGTATGGTGTTCGGGAGTAAAACAGACCTAGAGATGGTAGTTAAATTGTATTCAATTAAGATGCACCAACAATATGTTGTTGTTGATACAAATAAAACGCGTTGAGTGTTGAGGTGCAAGATGTATGCACAATGTGGATGCAAATGGAGGCTACGGGCAGTGTTGAAGGCGAACATGGAATGTTTGAGATCACAAAATATCAGACACCTCACACTTGTTTCTACCTAAGGTTAAACCAAGACCACTGTCAGCTTGATGAAGGTTTTATTTCTCAATGGATTGAGGGTGTGGTTCGGGCAACACCTGATGTAACAATGCCTGTCATCATTGAAATGGTGAAAAAAGAGTATCATTATTTGATAACATACAAGAAGGTGTGGAATGCGAAGAATAAGGCTGTAGCCAAGGTTTTCAGTGACTNTCTGTCATCATTGAAATGATGAAAAAAGAGTATCATTATTTGATAACATACAAGAAGGTGTGGAATGCGAAGAATAAGGCTATAGCCAAGGTTTTCAGTGACTGGGATTGTTCTTACAACATGTTGCCGAGGTTTATGGGTGCTCTTGTGAAATACAACCCTGGGACGATTGTAAAGTGGAAATATGAGGCTCGTGCTCCCGAATTCGATATATTTGGAAAGATGTTTTGGGCATTCAAAGCTTTTATTGATGGGTTTGTTCATTGTCGACCTGTAATCAGAATCGATGGCACATTTGTAAATGACAAGTACAAGCATAAGCTTCTTATTACTATTGGGATTGATGCTCAAAAGTAGATTTTCCCTCTAGCATTTGCCTTTGTTCATAGGAGACTAGTGAAAGCTGGTGTTGGTTCCTATATCATCTACGTCACTCTGTTGTGCCGAATAGAGCTGGTATATGCTTAATCTCATATTGACATAAATGTATAATTTCAGCGGTTAAGAAACAAGGTTCTGGGTGGAATGAGCCATACGTCTATCATCATTTTTGTCTAAGACATGTACAAAGCAATTTGAACACACGTTACAATAACACATATTTAAAAGATCAATGTGGAAGGCTGGGACAGCACATCAGATTCGCAAGTTTAATTTGA